CGGCCCGTCGGCTGAACACCAACGTCGGTTCGAAGGTATCATTGGAGATTCCGCGACGGGTTAAAGAAAGGCACAGGCGACGACGGCTGCAATGGAGGCGGCCTCCGTGGCTTATCTGAGCAGCGGTGCTCCTTTAGCCTGGGCGTCTCTCCGGGCACTTGCTCGCCCGCCGTTTCCCTGGCGACGGGGGAGTCATGGGCCGCGGACACGGGGAATGGAAGATTTGCCTATCGATTGTCGAATGGGTCAGCCGATGGGATCAAAGCGGGGTAGAGGCCGGGGGCGGGCACCCGGAGCCTCGTGGCGGCGTGGTGCTCGGCATCCGAACGCGCGTGCTTCTTCATTCATCTTATTGCGGAATTGTGACTGAAAGTCGAAGCGGAGCCGCGGAGGGAGGTGCGCACTCGTATCCGCAGGTGCTGCTGGCCTTGTTATGGGAGCTTCGTCGAGGTCGCCGCGTCCGGCTTATTTACAAACAGATTCGTGATGGGGATCCGGAGTGACGTCAGTGTCGGAGCCTCGCCGCTCCGCTTCTTCGTGCCACCGTGGAGAGAAACTATTTTATCGACAAGTCGCCGGGTCTGAAAGAAATGAAAGACAGCGAAGGTTGAGTGCACGCGCGCGCGCACTAGAGCGACTGAGCGAACGAGCTTTCGCCACGCAAAAACCACCGTCTGGTCGAGGAAAACGTCCCTCCAAGTGCAACAACCTAGATTAATTTATTAATTTACTCGTGGGTGATAGCTTTATTTCGACCAACATCCATAATAGATTACCCGGTTATTGCATTACTTTTACACTTGGAAATATTTATCGTATCTACAATACTTATTTTATAATTGTGTGCGGCATTTGGTGAAATTTTTGGACGTAACTTAAGATGAGTTTATTGTGCGTGGCTCGTGAAGAAATATATATGAGAATGGCTTGAGAGTCGTAGATTTTAGTAGAGAGAGTCAGGAGAGCAGTAGCGTGTTGGAACTCGTGCTGGATAGATCCATCTATACATGTAGTGCTGGAAAACATATTTTTCTCCAATGCGACCATTTATTGCTGCTCAGTCGATAAAACCATTGACTAATCAATGTCGGTAACGATTAATATCACTGCCGTGCGATATTTTTCATTTGCCGGCAAGTCGGCAGCTTCGAGCGGCGCAAACTTGCACGAAAGTCATGATTTTATCATGTTGGAAAAGGAATACGCGTGAAGGCTTAGAGAGAATCAATGATTTGCTACGTCTTTTAGAAAACAGGTAGGGGAGCCGGTTTTAAGCCGGCTACTCTTAAGCTATTATTGGCATTAGGCATGACGGTGGTCGATTCACGGTGCCAAAATTCATTTCGGAGGGACGATTTTCCTTTTAGGTATTATTGGAGCTAGAGGCAAAATGGAGAGAAAGCAAACGATGGTAAAGCCGCGAGTGCAAAGAGAGAGAGAGAGAGAGAGAGAGAGAGGGGAATGGGACGGATTGATCACCTTGGGGGATTAGACTCTTTGGAATAAGCAGCTCAATTGGGTGTCGCTGTGCACGCGGCTTTAAGATCGCCGTTGGCGCGTGCAATAGGTTAAGGTACGAGGACTGATGGTGATAGGGATGGTGATGGTGGTGGTGGCGATGTTAGTGGCGTTGTCGTTGTCGGTGATGGCGGCGGCGGCGAATCCTCTTCGAATTCATCGCTTGTTAGAGCGGCTAGAGGAACGCGCGCGGGGATTTGGAAGGGGGCTGAGAACAAGGGGGAATTTTATCAAGTCGATGGCGCGCGACTGTAGACACTCGATCTCACCACACCATCTGCGCGCCCTTTCGCAATGCGCGACGACGGATACGCGCCGTTGGGATTCCAATTGTATCGATTTTTTTCATTCTTTCGATTTTCCTCTCGGATTGCGTACGCGATGGAGATTTTTTACCTTATAGCCCATTTAAAGGCGACCTTTACCTCAACCTTCCCTTCTTTTACGTTTATAATAATTTGCATAATTGATGAAATTCGATTTCAAATTCAAGTAATTGTTTCTGACACTCAATTATCATACGAACCATTTCGAACTGCGATAATTAATTATATTTTGTTTAAAAAATTAAAAACATTCCGAATACCTATTGTTTTATGTGTTTAAAATGAATCCTTAAAACACATCTTTAAAATCGCTAGTGAACTTTATTTCATTTTAACCCATTGATATTGAAATAGTTGTAACGCAATTTACTCTGATATTATTAAATTTCCTATTATTCAAAATGTAGTTGTGTAAAATAATTCATTTTATTTTATTCATAGCTTGTAAGATTTGTAACTCTTAAGTTGTTGTTAAAGAAAATTTTAAACTATCAACACTGATAAAAATACTAAATAGATTTCTATTATTATATTAATGATTTAATACATTAAATTACATTGTGATAAAAAGCATAAAAATAAATAGAATTAATACTCTATAATACATAGACATATTTGTTTTCGATGCATAAATTTAATAATTGGAATGGCTCTGGATCTTTTTAATTTTGAATAACTTCTTGATTTATAATTTGTGAAATAAAGAACATTAAATGTAACTTTATTTTTAAAATCAACAATATATATATTAATGTAAATCATTGAAGTAAAAATGACAGTGTAATAATGGAATTTGCTTTTATTTTATAGCTATTTTGAAAGATGCTGACTTGACATCAATGTCAGCAAAGAAAGTTAGACAACAAATGGAAGAAAAATTAGATGTTGATCTCACAGAAAGGTAATTAACTATAATTTTGTCTTATTTGAAATTGTTTTTTTTTTCTTTCATCTTTGAATATTAACAATTGGTTTAGAACAAAAAGTACCAAAGTTACTATTTCTGAAACATTAAAAACTAGTAAAGACTATGAATAATAATAGTAATAAGAAGAATAAGAGTAGGTAGCAATGTGTAACAATAATATGCATTTGTTCAAAGTATAGATATAATATAAAATAATGCACGGATATGAAACAAGTACTTATTCAGAAATAATAGATAAATGTGCATAAGTGTCTTGTATTTTATCCAAGAAAAAATGAAGGGACTCTACGTACAATTTTTAATTTAAATTGCGACCTCGTTCCCCCTTCAACAATCTTGTATTAATATTATAGTTATAATGTAACGTAGTCAAATACATTATATAAAATTACTTCATGATTTTATAAAGAATAATGCATATGAAAGTATTTCAGAATTCAAAATGCCTAGCAAATGTAGTATGTACATAATATATTTGCTTTTTATGAATGTAAGAATGTGATTATTGATGTAGTTAACATTGATGATTATATTGTGTAGGAAGAAGGAAATTGATGACTTAGTTATGGAGTGCTTGCAAGATAAGCAAGATGGAGGTAAAAAGAAGAAGAAAGCTGCAAGTGAAGAATCAGAAGATGGGGTAGAAGAAGAAGAGGAAGCTTCTGAGGAAGAGGAAGAAGAGGAGGAAAAGAAACCTGCTAAACGTGCACCTCCTAAGAAGCCACCAACCAAACGTAAGAAGGCATCTTCCGATGACGAGGAAAGTGCTAGTGATGATGATGATAGTGACGAGGACTATAAGACAAAACCATCACGCAAGAAAGGTAAATGATTCACTTATAGGATTTTTTTCTAAATAATTAATGAAATCGGGAAATTATAGTTTTCTCAGACAAAAGTCATTAAAATATTGTTTAAATTCTTAATATTTTGATAATATCATAATGATTATTTGATATTTATTTTTATTGTGTCTAAGTATTACTCTGGCTCAATTATATTTAAGTGTAAAGTGAAATTTTCAAGATTTTTCCTTAATCGGATAAAATACTTTTAGTTTCTAATAGATTTAAGTATAATATATATAAATAATAAATTTATCTAAATTTTTAATTATTAAATATACTATGTTTCTACTTTTACAAAAAAAATATGTTTAAATTTTTATATAAGAATAGTTATTCTTTATATTATATATTTTAAGCATGTAACATTTGTGTACATTAAATATTTAATTAATAATATTATTATTGTATTCTTTTGTAGAGTTGATTTGTATTTCTAATATTAAAAATATTTAATTTTTAATTAAATTACTAATATTATGATAACTTAAACTTTTTCATATAAATATTGAATAGACCTTAATATTGAAAATTATATGAATATCAATCATTTTTATCAAAATTTTATATGATATTTCATTTTATATTTTATTTTGTATCATATTCTATATGATTATCCAGTTGAAACTTGTTGCTGACTCAATTATTAGATGTATAAATTTATACCATTCATATTTTATTTTCATTTTTTTTTAATCATAAAATTCATACTAAATAGTAGAAATTGAATGTATATTGTAAGTCGATTTATAGATACTTATCTAATACTTGTGTTTTTTATAGGCAAAGCTGGAAAGAAAGGTAAAAAAGGAAAGGGTGCCAACAGTGACTCAGATTCTGATTGGGGTAAGAGTAAGAAGTCTGGTGCTAAAGGCAAAAAAGGTGGTACCAAGGGTGCTGGTAAGGGCGGTGGTAACACGCGCGCCAAAACGCTCTCAGCTGACCTTGCCGCTATTGTTGGTGCTAAACAAATGACCAGACACGAAGCTGTTAAAAAAGTTTGGAGCGTTATTAAGGAGAGAAATCTTTATGTAAGATATTATCTATATCAAATAACTTTTTACGTGAAAATTGATTGGTGAATATTAATATGATATTAACTTTTTTTTCATAAATTGTAACAATTTCTGCAGGCTGCATGTTAATTATAATTAAATCTAAATCTTGGATAACTAAATGTATTTTTTATGAAAAATAGTTCTTCAAAAAATTAATGAAGAATATAAATAATGAGAATATAAATCTTTTAATATTATTTTTGCAGAATTGTTCCCTAAAATAAAATTATAAACTTATAATAATAATAATAATAATAATCCATAACATGTAATATTTTTCAAGACAAACATTAATGAAAGTTTTTGTTTTCAGGACCCTAAGAATAAACAATTTGCTATCTGCGACGATGACCTCATGAAAGTTATTGGCGTAAAACGCTTCAGGGTCTTTGGTATGTTGAAGTACCTCAAAGACCATTTTATAGACTAATTTGCTCCTCTGATAAGAGTCCATTCAGAAGTGATATATAAAATTCGTGACGCAATTAGGCGTCTTCTCCATCTTCGCGGTTTAATAAAAAATGCGTACACGTAAATACACTGTGTATACACGACATACAATACACGATACACAAACACACGCGCTCACACACAAACACACAAGAATATTCATATGCATTACTCGACATTTTAATTTTTTAATATAAAAGACTAACCTCATATTAATTGTTAAGTTGCAACAACTGCCCCTTTCTTCATTGATGAATTTCTTCATTGTTTCTTTAGTCATGTTAAGTATATAGACTTCTTAGATTATTCAATCTCCATGCATCATTAATATGACATTTTTTTATAATTTTTGTGATGATAATTTATAAAAGAAGGGCAGTTATTGCAGGCTTATCTTTTTTGTATCTCTTAAATGAACTTTATAACTATTTCTTAAAGAGTCTCCCTAGTTTGATGTTCTGAAAATACGGCAACGATTGGAGTTTATTTCTTTTTTTATTTATTTTATTATTTTTTTAAATTTTATTTAAAGAAAAATTTGAGTTCTTCACTTAAATACTTAATATGCTTATTAAGTTAATTTTAAAATTGTCACTCAAATTTTTCAAGTAAAAATAACAATTTATTTAAAGTTATTGCACATGTAGTGAGCACATTTGAAATGTTTGTTGTTGGCGAACATTATTGCAGTCACTATGGTTGTCTGGAACCAAAAAATTCTTAATCTGTATGAGTATGAGTACCATATGATCAGGAATAAAAAATTGAAATAAAATAGTCGCATTTAATTTTTTTCGATAAACAGTAACCTTATATAGTCGCGAACTTTTCTTTTTATAAATTAAATAATCATTCACTTTACATGGCATGATTCGATGTAGTTAAATATTTCTTTTTAATGTTTGTGTAAAATAATTCCAGTCTATTATTTATAATAAAATTTTTAAAAATACCATACCAGAAAGCATGTTTATAAGTATATGTACTTTTTTATGTAAAACTTTAGTTTTCAGTATGTAGTTTATCTTATTTCAAATTCTTTGTATAAATACGTCGGTAATAATTTAAGTAAAATGAATAAATGATAACAGGTTTTGAAACAACATTTTTAGTACTAAGTATTCTAAATATTTAATATACCAATTGTAATGATTTATCCAATTAATATGAATATTTTACTCAAAGTATTAATATCAATTATAGAAGAAAATACTTTACGCTTTTATTTCTAATCATTGCATTATTATTTGTCCTTTTTTTCAATTTTGTTAACCAGAAATCATCTATTACCGATGAGAATATATTGTACATTTTGTAAAGCTTTGAATATGCTAATTTTCATCTAAATACTCGAGCACTTTTTAATGGTTTAATTCTCTGCTTTTTAATGGTATCAAATTATCATTTATATAAATACAAATTGTGGAAGTTATATTCTTAAATTATCAAAGAATATAATAGAAAGTGATTTTTTGAACTTCTCAACTAGGAAGACTACTTAAAAAATATTTTACTAAAACATTTTAATCTAATTTTGTAAATTTGTGAAGACTTATTAATCACACACAAATAGTAATATGTCTTTAATATGATTATAAACTCAAAAGCTAATTTTTCCTAAATTTTAATTGTGATATGATTTTTTTAAATGTATGAATATTTTATTTTACGATCAGAAATTAATGCAACTGTATATGTAAATATACATATATTAGACAGCAAGTTACATTTATTTTTAATCTCTGATAGATTATATAATTTCGATTTATTATTTTTTAATATTCAATTTTGCACAATTATCAGATTGTAATTGAAACAGATAAAAATGAAAACAATAAAGTTTTCAAAAAAAAGCAAATTATTCGATAGAAAAAAGCCAGAAAGTAGATATTGATAACATTAAATCAATAACTGTACCTCTTCTGTATAATAGTGATGAATTAACTCAAATGGCTAAGCCAAGTTTACTTAGATTAATGTGTAATTATTAATTACCTTTGTAATTTAGGTACCTTTGGTGTGAAAATTAAAATAAATTTTAGGGTAATGTCTACATTGTATTGTGTTCTGGACAAAATAAATAAGAACTGTGTTACATACACGTTTATGATTTATTAATTCTTAATGAACAGTTATAAAGAAAATAAAGTAAGTGCTGACAATTGTGAGCCGACATTATGCGCGATGTCGTGATGTAGAGAGTAAGATTTAAATTCCTGTTTTAAATATCGCGTTTAAAATTTTAATTAATGAATTTGCTGGTCAACGTCTTGACGGCTAAGTGGAAAATCAAATAATTCATGGTAGTGAACGGGACGATAAGAATATTAAAAAAAAAGAAAAGACGTATAATGAATTGTGTATTTGAACCTGCCTGATTAAAAAGTATTGCTTGAAAATTTTTTATAAAATTTGTAAAAAAAAAAAGTCTTAATTATTATTTTAACACCGTCTTCTCTTTATTTTTCCTTACCCTTAAATGTGTAAAATTTTAACTTCAAATTTGCTTGATATAATCTGAAAAAATACAACTTGTACGGCTATATTATTTATACTTTTCAAATAAATATATTATATATTATTATATATATATATTATATAAATATATTATTTATACTTTTCAAATAAATATATTAAGATATAAACTAAGTCGTTTTAGAATGTCTAAACATGAAATTGATTCAAAGAAATGAAAATGATTTTTAACGAAATAATGTTTTCGCTTACTATTAATATAATGGATATGTTTTTTTTATGATTTTTATAAATAAAATACCAAAAATAGAATTAAAATTTGAATGATATTTTAACGTAAAATGCATATAAAATTTTTTAATTGATTATGAATGAATTTTTTACATTCTTGTTTATTATTATAAAAATCACGAAATATGAAGAGTAAGAAAAGAAGTCATTACATGAAAAATTAATAAATCTAAATATCTGAATAAACAAAATATTAATATAAATCGAAAAAATTGCTTTGATTTATTTTAACTAAGCTCCATCTATATTAATTTATCATTTATTGATATCCTGCATACCAAGTTTCTATATTCACAATTTTAATTGATATTGTGATCAATGTTTATCAACATTATATTGAGTACATCAATTAATAATACTATAAAATATTATTGAATTTAAGTTCAAATATTATAATTATATACTAAGATTTTAAAGATTATTATGTAAAGAAATATATATCGTGTATTTTCTGTCAGTGTTACAAAGTATAATTTAAAATCTGGATGTATGAATAACCTTTCCATATCTTGATTTATTAATTAAACTTTGGCAAGGTAAATATAAAATAATTAATATATTCAACGAATTCTATATAACATTTTCTTGATAAAAATCTTATTTAATGGTATCTTTTTTATTACTGTTTTTTAAAATAAAATAAAAGAGTTATATTTTCTCTATTAAAAGTAATCACATTTTAGTCAAACTTATTTTACCATAATACTAGCTTTGCTGAATTTATCAATTAAGTATTAAAGCAATATAAATTTAATTTGTAAGAATAGATGTATAATATGTAACTTTCTTTAAATTGCTTAACTTAATCGTAACATATTGTTAATAAATCTAAAACTAAAATAAATTCCGATATACATAAATCTAATATAAATGTTTAAAATAATTAAAAATCATAGAAAATTTGTGGAAATACAGAATTTTATATAATGTATGAAAAAATTCAGTTTCTATAAGCTATCGGTTTATAAATTACATTAAAGAGTATCAAGGAGTTAACTCAGATACTAAATCCACTTCAATTCTTATTGAACACTGGTGATCTTTCTTTTATTTCAACATTGTAACTATAACATGTTTTTAAAAATGTACATAGAATTGTTACGTATAGGAACATGAACGTAATTTAAGGCAATGTTATATATAGAAAACATGATTTTTATAACCTGATTATCCGTTATTATAATGTATAATACTCTGTATTAGCTTGATAACGAATTTTTATAATAATCATTCTTAATGCATAATATACAATATATTTGATTTTACATTCATTCGTATAAATACAATATCTTTAAAAAAAATGTATAAAAGGATCTCTACGTATTAATTATGTCTCTAAAATAATAGGAACATTATAAATTAACTAATATAGATAATAAAAACTTAGGGTTGCATCATACTTATAATTATTTTTAACAAATTATAAAGAAATAATAAATAAAATTGTTTTATTAGTATTTAAAATTTTAAAACTCAAACTTTTGTACATTATTTTCAAGATAATAAAGCCCTAGTATTTCAAATTATAAATAATTATTAAACTAAACCATTACCGAAAATAATTTATTTCAAATCTAAGTATCAAAATTCATCAATTTCAATGTATTTATAAATAATTATCAAATATTCATTTTTATTTCTTTTTCTATATCGGTCTAATACTGTATAAAATAGAAATTTAAATGTAACAAAAAACTAGGAAAGTTTTTGATGTAGCATGTATGTTATATTATATAAATATGTAGAAAAACAATATTTTGCATTAATCTATTTTTAAAAAATTAATTTAAAATTTCAAAATTACTTTTACATTCTCCAAACATCTTCCTTTCTAAATATCTTTGCAGTTTTTTTAAAGTACAAATTGCATTTATATTATAATTTAATTAGTAAACGTTATGAATTAACATATTTTTACTATAATTACTAAAATTATTACGCATTGGAAACGTTTTGATTTTTTTCCTTTCAATCTTCATAAACATTAAGGATATAATATCTATACACATACGTATATATCAGAAGTACAGCTAATTTATAGATTACAAAACGTAGAAAAAAATACTTTTGTAATTTGACATTGCGATCAAAATTTACAGATATATGCAATGCGTCTGAAATTAGGTTAATGTGAGTAAAATTAGATTAAGTTAATTCCTTACATTATTCTTACAAGAATAAATTATATTAATTTGCTTTTTTAAAGAACAAATATAGTTTTGATATTAATACCATATTATTTAAAATATAGTAAGACATTTGTAGATGTATGCTAAACTATTTTTTCTATTATTCATCATAAGGATGTTAATAATTTTTTATATATTAACTTTATTTAATAAATCATTCAATAAATATTTGAAAAAATTAAAAACTAAATTCATAAATTAAAGAATTATGATTACTTAAATAATTCTTTTTAATAAAAATGCAATAGTTTTAAGAACATTTAGAGAATAATTCAAATTTTTATAAAGTTTTTTACATGAATATAATAAAAACCGTTATTTAACTTTATTATTTTTATTATTTTTAATTTTATTATTTATATCATTTTTAAAATTAATAACTTATTTTAATATGTGTATGTTTAAGCCTCTAATTATATTTGTATATAAAACTACATCAATATTTCGAGTTTCGTAAACTTTGGATAATTTACATTGTATAATTGAAATATCCATTTATCAAAAAACTATAAAATTCTGTACACATTAAGCTTTTTTGTTATCTTTATCTTTAAGATTTGTTATGTTTTATCGTTGTTATCAATTTTTAAATTCATTTAAAATATCTAATATTATATTTATTTTAAAACTGTAGTTTATTATATATATTAATAAATATTAATATAAGCATGAATTGCATTTATACTTTTTGAATAGTAAATAAAAACTTTGTTTTTTATATTTTTTATTTTTATATGCAATAGAAGCATAAGTTTAGAACTAGCTTAATATAAAATTAAACTATGATTACCATACATTCAAAGATTGTTATTATACTAAAAAATTGTTAATTTAATATAACACTGGTAATTTGAACAAAATTACGTTTATATCTAATAGTATTCTATATTTCACATATATCAATTATTATTTTAACCTCTATTAGTAATCTATCAGAGTTATTAATTACACTAATTTTATCATGATACTTACAAATTATTAAGATTACAAGATTACAGATCAAATAATTTTCAATTTTTAACAATATATTGTGCATAGTTCAAGGAAGAAAATTAAATATTCTTTGTTTCATTACATACAAATTGGAATTGAAAAATTTTGTCAATATTATCTATATATCATATACATTTCTTAAGAAAACCTTTATTATTTTAGATTTATTCAAGCGAAGGGTTCTTCATTATTAATTTAAATTTTAATATAATGTATACATATTAAAATTATTACATTTTACTGAATATGATTTTATATCTAATAATGTGTCGTATTTAATATGCTTCTTGAATGAAAATCAATTTTGTAAAACTAAAGTAAATTAATTTAAATAAATTATTTAGTATTAATGTTAGTATTAATAGTCAAAATTATTAACTTCACTATTTAAAATATAATTTAATATTTAACCTTTGACAAATTAATTTTTTAAAAATTAAAGTTTTTTTGTTACAAAATAACATTAGATAGTATATTATATAATTCAATTACGTAAATTCGACTAATCATAAAATAAATATTTCATTTAGTCTTCTAATTGATAGTTGAAATAAAAACTTTTTCTTTCTTTCCATAATAAATAGTTTTATATCATCATCTTATTAGTCATTTCTGTTTGCATTCTATGTAACAGATATGGAAAATTAATAAATTTATAATAACATAATAAAAAAATGTGGAAACTATCATTATGTATAAAATAAATATTGAACAATTATAGAATAAGTAACCGTATGGTCGGTAAGATAATAAATGTTAGAACCACAGTATAATTTAATAATTGAAAATGTATGTTCATAATTTGAGGTACCTATCCGTATACATTTTCGTAGTACAATGTCTCTTGTAGTATAATAACTGTGTTATATGAAAATGAAAAAAGGAATAAATTAGCTGTGAAATATATATATATATATATATTCTGTACCTTCTACTTTACCACATATATGATATTTATTATATTACAGAATTCTAAATAAGCATTATGACTTTAATTCAACTAAGTTATATCTATTATTATGAAATAAATAAAATAATCAATAAACAATAAAAACTTTAGTTTTGGTACAATATATTATTGACAGGAAATAGAATATTAATTATCATTTTGCTTTAAAAAAGAAAATTTAAATCCTATATAATAATAGTTAGAAAATATTTTGATTTCTTTTACGTGTCTATTAATTTTCTAGTGTATCAATATACTCATTTTTCTGTTATCTACTAATTAACTGAGGCTCAGCAAGAGCATAAAAATATTATGAATAAAATACAAGAAAAAATGTATTTTGTTTTTATCTCGATCAACTCTTTTTTTGGCAAAGACAAAACCTTAGGCATTAGTTTTTTATTTGTTCAAAGTTTAATTAATAAATTGCACATTATTTTTGCTTCGAAGACCAAATATACACTTGTTTAACTTCTTTGGATTTGTACCACTCTCCTTTGGCGTCTGAACTTCTTTTTCCTTTGGCATTAATGTTTGTAAATAAATATCAGTTCTAAAGTGCGACTTGATTGTCTGTGTACTTCGTGTCATACATTGACAAATATTTGCCTGATAAATAATGAATTTATTAATAAGTTTCAATAATAAATAAAAATATTATAACAACTAACTTAGGAAATTATTATAAGAATACGTTAATTAGTGTCATTCTTCTGTTAACGAATAATATATTTAACTCAAAATATTTAAAATTTAAAAAATATATCGCTTAAATAACTTATTATTTTATTTTACATTATTGTTCAAATCTAATAATTTCTTACGAAATTGAATACTAAATATCATAAAATGTTATTGAAATGTTTACATTAACGTACAAATTGCAGAGCTCTTTGTCGGTGTACCCAAAGACTTGATGAATAATTAATATCAATAAATGCAGGAAAAACATGTGTTTCCGTTTGAACTTCTTGATTTTGACTAATTTTAAATGGGAAATATTCTGCTGATAACCTGTAACAAAGATTAAAAATATATTGTTTGATTTCAAAAATGTGGAATTTGTTTAATTTAAAGTGAATATTCTGTATACCTTTCTTCACGATTCATGGTTTGAATATCTTTATAAAGTTGAAAAAAATGAATATACTCTTCATGCATCTTTACAATATCCAAAGCTGTTTGTAAAAATCTTTTAACAAATTTATTAATAACTATGAAATCATTAGCTATTTAAATTAGCTAATACATTAAAGATGCAATAAAATATAAATATGAATGTTATATCTAATAAGAGTATTTTTATTTTGATTTATGTAATTAATCAATTGATTAATGTAATTTTATAAATGTAAAACATCGATATCATAAAACACAGTTATAACGAAGTAATAAAATAATTTGATTAATTTTGTAAAACTAAAGGGTATAAATGGTTGATTAGTTATATTATAAAAACTATCATTTACGTTTATTTAATTACAATAAAAATAGTAAATATGTTCGAGGTTGTATTATTTTCATGACGTATAACAAACCTGTCTGGATATTCTCCAAACTGTCGAGCTGCCTCGATAGAACAAAAAGCGAACCACTTGCCTCTCCATTCGGCTACACCAATGTTTGGATTTCCTGGGATTAATGCCCCATTTCCAACAACAAAACTCCAAATACAAAAACCAAGAAACTGCAAATTGATGTATTACACATATTATTTTCAAATTAATTGTAATAATTAGTAATTTACTTATTCATTATTGTGTTCCATACTTGTAGATTCATTTGACTGAAATTGTTGTTGTGACTAGGATAAGCTAGAGAACAGTTTCCACAATCCACTAAAAAGTAACCAAATTGTTTACACGTACGAGTAAAATAATATCTTAAAGATAGTAATGATTTTATCCGTTACATTCAAATAACTGTGTACAATATACTAATATAATTATTTAGATTTTAAATAAACAAAGGTTTTAAGTAATATTTTTGTAATTAAAAAATAAGTTATATAAAAATGTAATCAATGATAGATCGTATAATAGTTATTTCCTATATTATATTGTATAGAAGTATGGTAAAATATTATATATAATCTGAAATTTTAAATAATCACATAGTGATTTGCTTTAATTTATTTTTTTTATTTTATTCGGTGCTTTTCAATTTTTAAATATTATATAATATTTATAAATTTAATATTTGAGATATTCAGATTTTAACACTATATTATAATAAAAAGTAACTTATATTATTAATTTTATCTTCATTTTTAAAGAAGTAAATTATAAATAAATTTTTTATAAAACAATTATATCTTTTAGTCAAAAAATATATTAATATTCGCATTAATTTTTTATAATTAATTATGTCATATTTATGAGTTACTTTATGCATAAGGAAACGTTTAATAAAGATTTGCGAATTTTTATTCGTGTGTAAATTGTACAGAATCGCTTAGTCTTGATTTTCGTTAAATATATTATTGAATAATCAAAAAACAAGGCTTGGAAATGTGTAAGTATAATGTAAGTATCAAATATAATTATGTGTAAGTATAATACTATCAAATTGTTCACAGAATTTAATATATAATGAGATGTAGAATTTGATGGAAATAAAAACAAACCTATTAGTTTTCCCATAGTTTTCTCCATTCGTTCAGCATCGGACACTACTTGAACCTTGTTCAGTAGTTTGTTTAAAATAGTACGATGATGAGTATCTACAATCTAAACAAATTCCATTTGTATTATTTATTTTATATATTGATAATAATAATTTTTATACTAATTTAATTGTAATAATTTTAATAAAATAAAATATGAATGGCTTTTAATTCTAAACGAAATTTAGTTTTATAGATTTATTAAAGCATTTTAAAAAGAAAATAAATTTCATTGAATGGCCTTTATTAGTATGCACAGTAATACCCATGCCTAAAAGTAATAAATTCAGCTTTAAATATCATAATACATTATATATAACATTTTATATTAGATACCTTGGGAAAAAAGCATTGCAATTTCCAAAGCATTTCATTGATATAGCTTAAAGTAATAACTTCGTCTTGCAATTTCAGCCAAATGTTAGCAAGGTCTTTAAATTGTGGCTAAAAAAAATTTCGAATTTCTATATTGGCATGTATGAAATTTGATTTAATATTAAAAAAAACTATACATAGACTTGCGCAGTAGGAATAGCTGTTCTATATTTCACCATTTCATGAAGTTGGATTAGTCGATTTTTGAAGCCACATATCAAACATCGTATTTCCTCATTACAGAGTTGTAGATCTGCTAGTAATTTTCTATAATATAATTTAATATGATAAATATTATATTTAATTTCTTTTGTATTTCACTGTAAATGTAAAATTATTTTAATTCAACTTACTTCATGACTGATTTATTTTATTGAAATTATATTGATTACAATAGTAATGTTAATGTATAATGTTTGCAAGCTGGCGTTACTTACATGCATTAATATCATATATACAACTTACTCACATACATACATATATACACACGATATTGAAAAATAGATATAAGGATAAAGAAAATGATTTGCAATTTATTATTAATTTTATTTATCCTCAATATCTGACAATCCTGTAAGGTATAAAGAAAATTAACATCTAATAGTTTAACAAAATTATTTTGTGTCTCAGATTAAATACGCATTAATTCTCGAATTAATAAAATTTATGAATAAAAATATTTTTATTAATATATTTTTAACAAGTAATTATTTATTTAGATTCTAATAAATAGATAATAAAAAAATTAGATTTTTAATAAATATTTAATAAAATATTTAATTAATTAAAATGATTCAATTTAACAATATACAATAGCAGTTACCTTACATAAATTTCCAGTTGCCTACTAGCAAGGAGCATTTCTATAGACCACATAATATCTTTTAACTCAAGATCGTTTTCGAATTCGACGCGATTGTGTATGGCAGCTTCAATGGCAGCAGTGAATTTATACACTTTTCCCATGAGCATTTCGAGTAATTGAATAATTGATGAGTGTGTCCTATTCACGCCTGCCTGTAAAATGCTCGGCACTTTTCCGTACCGTGGATACATATTGACTTACTTTCTTTAATTAATATTGCACTTCACATACTGTTGCAAAATAACTTTATGTGTGAGAATTTTTTATTGATTATTAATAAGAAATACTATAATCATATTTGTGTATATATAAAATTTAAAATAAATAATATTCCTTATTCCACTTCCACTTCAATGGGTCTTCACCAATTTATTATTTTTAATTGCAATATTTAATATGTAATTTTATACCGATGGAATTTAAATAATTGTTTTAAGCTTTCATTAAGAAACTCATTAGAAATTTAACTATTTAAAAAATCATTTCATTATTTCCTAACAAATTAATGTAAATCACAAATATAAGTCTTTTTTCAAAAGATAATTTTGATGTTATTTTGCATTTCAATAGAACATATTATTCGAATGGAATATTTTAACGAAGGCACGATAATTTGCACCAAAATTTAAACAAAATATTGTTTATTATTAAAATAACGTCAAATTTTTTTCTTGCAATTCTCCGAATAATACTTTCTATCAAAAATTTTCTCCAACAATATAAAATTCAACTATTCAAATGCCCTTCAATACTAGAATTCTCGAAATATAACTTAAAAAGGCTTAATTTGACTGCCAATATTCCTAATAATTATTACTGCATTCCAGTAAAAGTACACCGTAACGCTAAAAGTATACTTTCTTACGATCGTCGATATCGCTGCCGCCGCGCTGGCAATCGCGGTTAAAGAGGCGAATGCCTGCTACGATAAAAACTAGCTCCATCAATTGTTCTTCCTTCGCTGGCTTTGATAAAGTAACATAGCGCGGAAGCTCCGAAGGCTGAAGAACGCTTTGCAGGGCGATAGCAACTTCTCTGCAAACGAGCAAAGAAAGAAAATACAATTTTCTAGAAGATATACTCGTACTTTTACGCTATTTTAAGATGAAATAGTTTTCACACTGGTTTTGTCATGTAAACCTTATGCAATATAACTTATATAAAAATTTTCTAAGAAATTTTCTCGATAATGAAAAAGTAAAAGTTATTACGGACATAATAAAAGTGAATGATTACTACTTGGTAAATGTTTTATTGATGAATATAAGTTCTGTGAATTTGGCTATTCATAAACTTAGATTAGCTTTATTGAAATCATTCGCGTAAACTCAACCATTCAATATAGTTCAGTTTAACATGTCCGTGTAATACAATTTGAATATGAAACCAAATAGCACAAGGAAAAATAGATGTATAAGAAAAAATAAATTTAAAAATACTTTATTAAATTTATTAATGAAATTTACTAAGATTTATTTTTGGTTATAATTTTTAAGAAAGTAGATTTCGAGCTGAAAATATATAGAAAAAAAAATAAAATACATTTTATCATTCATGAAGATATCATTAAATGTTTCTGTGGAATATTAAATAAATGTTTTTAAACATTACAAAATTTGAAATAAGTTTAATTATGTATCAAATGAACTTTATAATATAATAAATGTTTAATAATTTTATCCGTTGAATTTATATATTTTTCAAAATTGCAATTTATGAAATTAAATACTTTTTAAATAGTAATGTAATATACACCATTTCTTAAAATAGCTGGTTGTTTTAGAAGTTTTACAGAATAATTCGTCAATCATCATTTAAAATCTCATAAACTACTTTATAAGTTAAACAATTTAGGACTTTTATAAATATGAGTAGCGAAATAATTGTTACTAATTTATATTAAAACAGAAATTTCATAAATTTTTTATTATTATCATTCATAAATTATAATGAATAATAGAAAATTCAATTAAAAAAAATCCTATTAGTATTTTCATTGAAAAAAAAACCTTTCAATTTTTTCTGAAATAAATATAATATAAATTAGATATATTTATGAAAATTAAACAACAAACATATTTAATAAGCTTATATATAGCAATTCATTTATAATTAATCGATTTTATTTTATTTAAATTAAAACATGAGTTTATAAAATATTAAAGTTTTCACAAGAGAAAGTGCTACTATTGTTTTTAGAAATTGCATATTTATGTTATGATTTATCGTGCTCGCTGTTATGAGTGTTTTTTATTAAAATATCAAATGACGACTTAAAAAATAATATTTTATATTTAAATTGTCTGGTAAAATAATATTATATCATTATGTGATATAGTTTTCTAATTACAGAATACATTTTATTAATAAACATATACCATTTCTCACTAGTTTATATATCATTCTATATATTCAATTTTCTTGTCTTATTTAGTAAATAATGGTAAAATACTTTTCATATTATAACTTAAATATTTTTCATTTTCTATTACAAATATTTCGAATTGATGTAACTGCAAAATTAAAAGTTTATAAGGTGAAAATTGATTTTGACACATAAATATATTCATAGTAATTAAAAAAAACTATTTGCATATAAAATGAATAACATTTTCATTTAATCTACATAATATAGTATTTCTATTTATAATATATTTAACAAAGGATGTATATTCGTATAAATTTTATAGCTAAGATAAAGTTTTAAAATGCCTTCAAAAAGTATTTCATTTGGGAATCTTTTATTTTGTAACTAAATTTATTAATTTATTAGTAATAAAAGTAAATAAATCTTTTGAATTACTATCAAATTAAGAGAAAAAATTATTTATTTACCTTAGCACCACAGGAAGTGTCGGATTCCCTAAGCCACTTAAAAGTGTAATAACTACAAGCATTTTCTGGTACAATACTTCCATTTCTTTTGTATTATCTAGCTTATTTACATCACAAATTTCTTTAACCAATGGTGCAGTTTTATATATAAGACGATCTCTGTGCTTTTTAATAATACTATCTGAAATTTTTTATAATTTTTTCAAAATTATAATTATATTTATATTTGTAGATAAATAATATGAGTTTTTACTCAATTTTTCAAACAATAAAATAAAATATAGATGTTATGCGTTTGTTTTCAGCTTAACGAAGATATTATTTAACTAAGAGTAATATTTTATGATAACTTTATCTATTTAATGTTACTTTTAATCGAACAACATGTTGTGCTTACACTTTAACAAATTGCTGGTTTATAGTATATATATATGTTGTGTTATTACAGAAAGTTTCACATAAATTTTACAATATGTTGAAAATTTATTAAAATAAAATAAAATATAAAATTATAAGCTTCTTGCAATCATTTACCAAACTTTAATCAATTGAATTAAATTAAATGATAAATATGTAAAACTCGATTATAAGTGGTTGTTTTCATCTTAACGATTTGCAATAACAAAAATCTATATGATATATATGAAATTCATACTATAGAGAATTATAGATTAAATTAAAAAAAATAACTATTCTAGGAAATTACGTCATAATTTTTGTGACTGTAAACTTTCAAAGACTTCTTTTTAATTTAAAATTTAAATTCTGGTGAAGAAGTATAAAATCTAAATAATAATTTTATAGTTATTAATTAAAATTTATTCTATAAAACAAAGTTGTATGATTTTAAGCTAAAAAAATTAATTTATTCAAGTTATTATCTATACATAAAGCACAGACATACACATGGCATAAAATACATCAATATACAAGTTATTAATTTTTACAATAGAGATATATCTTATGTAATTATGAATAAAAATAAAATAATTATTATAAGTGAATAATAATAATTTTCTTTAGAAATAATGATATTTATTTTCAAATTGTATCTAAAAAGTAACCTCTGTCTATATAATGTTTGGCAAAGTGGAATTGAGTCTTCAACGTCAGAAGGCTGGGCCCAGATTGATCAAGCAATTTTTCTATTACGGCTGCACGTATTTTCTTTTCACTGTTCGTCTCATCTTTATGATCGTCCACTTGATAAGTTGAATTCAATGATATAAGTGACAGCTAAATTAAAATTTAATTTTATTAAAAGTTAATCGAGAATAAAAAAAGGTATTTTAATAAATTTAGCAATTGATTTTGAATATACTTTAGTGTATTTATACAATATATCATTTAAATAACAGTTATTTTCGATCTTATCTATCTTCGAAGCTTATCTATATGATACTTATTGTCTAAAATTCTAAAAATTAGTTTAATTACCATATTACTCCTATGACAAAAGAAAAAAAAGAAAAACAAGAAAATACTAAAATATAATTAGCAGATTAAAATTAAAAATCCAATTATTATTAGCAAATATATCTGTAAAATTTATCATAATTAGGAAATAAAATTGCAAGATTTTTGCTTTTATGAATGTTTATACATTAAAAAATATTATCTATTAAGAATTATTAAAATTAATTTTATTTATTTATAATACAATTTACATTAAATTACAAATACATATTTTTCACTTTTAGTAACATGGCAATTAAACATCAATTCGATCTATACAAGTTCATTATATCATCTAAAATAGAAAATTTTAATAGAAAATTTAAATAAATTTGAGCTTACTAAAAATGCCACAAATTCTTCGGATACATTGATATTTCTTTTTTTGCAATCATTGGTGATTTCTTGTATGAAGTTATATAACGAAGTGTCCATGTTCTAAATGAGTAATACACTTGGTGAATGTCAAATATTGAGTTGATAGTACATTGTATAGAGCAGATAGTAAGTTTGATCGATAAGTGCTGTAAATGTAAATAAAATAAATGGTGGTTTTTGAAATTTCATAGCTAAAAACATAAATTTGTCATCGTAAGACATGAAAATAATTTATGGTTTCAAAAAAATTAAATTGTAGTTTTTATTTTCACGAAATAAGAAAAAATTTAAATATAAAATATATAATGGGCAAAACATTAAATTTTGTTAATTTAAATAAAGTAGAAATCCTGATATATAAATACTGTATATATATTATATATATTATATTATAGTATATATATATTATATGCACAGACACACACACACACACACACACACACACACACACACACACACACACACACACACATATATTATGTGGATTATGTATATTAATTTAATGTTTCGTTATGAATAAATATTCAGTCGTATTAATATTATTATTATAAATTATTTCTTTAAGATTTTATTAATTTAGCTCTCAATTTCTTATCATGATGCTTCAAATTCATATTAATTATTCTCAGTAGCATATTTTAATTTATTTATATTTCAGTTTAATACATTATATTAAAAAAATTAATGTATTACGTATTTTTAACTAATCGAATTTTTTCAAATTGAAAAATATTAATAAGTAAAATTAATAATTAATATTAATTATTAATAAGTTTTTAATATAAGATTCTTGATGTAGCAATTATATGTCTAGATATTATCAATATATTGATGTATTGACTCATATAAAGCCGATTAGGCAGAAATATCATACACATAATGAATATGATTTCCGGAAATTCGATTCACATACCTTGTAATTCCATTTACCAGTGATAATTATTTTTACATGGTTATTATTTAAACGATTTATTATCATTGTATTTTTTTATTATAATAAATAATAATTTAACATATATTATAACTAGTTAAGATTTATTTATTTTAACAGTAATGTTTGTTAGAGTATATATTCCGTTTGTAAAATTGCGTTTCGATGTAGAGATAATTCTATGAATAATATTGAATAACTTACTTCATTTGAAATTAAAAATTTGTAGAATTACCATTGATATAGCCAACGAAACAACAATAATAAAAAATCACGCTAGTTTGTGTTGCGATTATTCTAATTTAATTACTTTATTATTCATGTTCACTGCTTGAGGGCAATTGAGATAATGTTACTATAATTATCCTAATTTCTGTAATACCTATTTTGAAAACTAAAATCCTGCTGATATTTGGAAGCGGTTTGTTTAAATACCAAATTTGTGACCCACAAATTATGTTTACAACTTTCTAATTGGGTTTGCAGGGTCTATTGAATCTATATCATCATTCTTTTAATATTTTTATATCTTATCTTTATCTCTACTTCTAATTAATAAACGTGAATATTGTTTACTTCACAGCGAAGGACTTTTTTATGATCGAATGTATAATGGCGTTATTTTATATTTTACGTAGAGACATGTATTATAACGAATAAGAGTATAATTATATTTAATAAGCTATTGCTTATCTATATTATAATCGCTCGATAAAAACTAATGTCTGAATAGATATATTTATTTTAATATTAAAAAAATTTTTAGTAGCGACATGTAAGAATTTAATTAAAAGGATATATTAAATATACAAGCTAAATTTTCTCGTTCTTATATAATCAAATTTTAAAAACTTTGCAAGATTCAATGTATTATTCATGAAATTTATTTTTATTTTACTTTATATTTTAATGAAAATCCCTTTTATCATTTATTATGTCATCCTGTCTTTTCAAACGATTTATAAAATATTGTAAATAATATATTATAATAATGAAAAAAAGACATGCTTTTCCATTAATTGTTCATTCATCGTTGTACTTTTTTAAACTTTAAAACGCTTTGATTTTAATTCATTAATTAAAAATAGATAAGTGATAATTGCAGTACTCAAATTAATATTAAGTATATTATATTTTATATCACTTAATATTTCATTTAGTCATGAAATATTTATGATTATATAATTGTTAATTGTTAACTCCCAATGTTTATTTGACATTTTTAATTTAAAGACGTTTGACATACAAATTTCGCCACATTTTACGAACTAGGCAAAATAAAAATATAATGGTTATAATTTTATTTGCAACTTTTTCTTCTTCTATTGATTATTTTTTTGTTCATTTTTAATCTACAGTAGTTGCTTTAAATATAATTTTTGTAGTACAATTAAGTTTATTGACCTGAGCTATTTATTTTCTATTATTAAAGTTATTATAAACTGAAGGATAAGTAAATTGTTTACAATACAGCATAATAAATTTTGTTAACATTGAAAAAATTGTATATCATATCATTAGCCACGGATTATATTTTAGAATTTTGAATAAATGTCATTGTAAAGTATGAATATATATTTTGATGGTGGAGAGAGACGTAGATAGAGATAATGATCGAGATTGAGAGTGAGAGTGAGAGTGAGAGTGAGAGAGAGAGAGAGAGAGCTAGTTAGTGAGGGACAGAGTGAGCGAGGGAGAGAGAGAGAATTAGTAATAATAATAAATTAATAATAACTCACTTACCGTGAGTGACGAAG